ATGTAAAGAGGTATCTGATGCGGTTTATAGTCATATTAATCCCTTCATTCAGCATTCTAGTGATACCACGAATGTTGAGTTAATGGTTTTAATGAAGGTCAAAGTGAGCCTGATATTGATGAATTGGGTTGGAAAATTCGTCAGATTATCTGATAATGCATTGTCAGGCTCATTACTTGCACCATATAACACAAATAGAATTTTCTATCTCTACTTGCATTTGAGTTCTGTAGATTCCAAGGACTTAATCCCTTACTGATCAGAAGATCTCCAATCTTCTTCTCATATTATTAAGCTACATTATCGTATTATTATTATTAAATATTATTTACAAAATATAAGTATATAAATGGTAAATATAAAAATATTAAAAAATATACATGGTGTTCTGACCCTTGTTAGCCCACAGCGTGGTTAGACGACAGTCGGTGCTACGTGCTATTGCACAATTCACTTGCTTCGAATTGGAGATATTAATGAGTCACACTGAATTAATTTTCTATTTCACTATTGTTTTATTTTTATCATTGTTTCTTTCCTGATTTGTCTAAAATTATAGCTGCTAATTTTCTATTATGTCTTCAGGAGGCCAAGCAGGCTATCGATCTTATGGGAAAATGGCATACAATTGACGTGACTGATGCACTAGGACTCCTATCTCCTGTCTTTGAAAGTGAAGAGGTGAATATCTGCATCTCAACACCTTTAATCCAATCCATTTGAATTTTCTCACATTGTTACATATAATTGTATAAATAAGCTGTTCTTTGGAACAAGGTTCTGGGTGCGCGCGCATATGCGCGCATATGCGATGATGCGCCCCCAGAGGGAGATGCGCCAGGCGCATCTCCCTTAGCCGGATCCGGGTCGGATCCGGGCAAAATCCGACCCGGATCCAGGTCTGTTTTAAGTTATTTAAATAACTTAAAACAGTGTTTTGTTTTTATTTTAAAAATAAGGCCAATTTTTTATTTATTTTAAGACCTTATAAATTTTTAGCATAAAAATTTATACATTGGTCCATGAAAAGAGCTATATTATTTTTAATATAAGCTCCTCCCACTCTTTAGACTTCATATTTGTTTTAGACAAAATGAATCTTTATTTATAGACCAACCTTCTTTGTGTTTTTTGAATTCTATCAATGTGGGACTAAAAAAGTGTGGTTAAATAAATTATTATTATAGAGTATTTTTTATGTTGTAGATGTATTAAAGAAGGCCCAACCCAGCCCATTACATTATTATTTTCTAAAAGCCTCTTGGGTTATTTATTATTTTCTTTTTATAAAAGCCTCTCTTTTATAAGTTTAAAGAAACCCTAGCCATTTATAGAGCTATATTATTACGAAAATACCCCTAAATGGTTAACCGGTTTTTAAACCTTGGTGTTACAATGAATTATAGGGTGTTATAATAGTTAATAAATATATGTATTATAATAATTTTTCTATCCAATATATTTTTAACTAAAAAACTTAATTAATATAATTTAGATATATAAAAAAGCATTAATTTCCTATAGTTTTATAAATATTTACGAAAATGCCACTGGCGCATCTGAGCGCATATGCACGCATATGCTCAGATGCTCCAGGTGGCGGCGCATCGCGCAGAGGCGCATCCGGAACCTTGATTCCATGACCAGCATCCCAGCTTAGATTCATACAGTACAAGAAAGAGACATTTTGGTTCTACAGATTCTTATCTATAGTCTATGACCATGTCATAAACCATGGCCACTGGACATGAGGGATGATGCTCTTGAACCATGTCAAAGTCAACAGAAAAAAAGAAAAACATCTATTAAGAATAGAATCAACAACGGAATAATGAAGAACAACTATTAAGAATAGAATCAAGAACAAAAACATAAATAATCGGTGAAGTAAACATATGAATCAAGAATAGAAACAAATCGATCTTACCTGGAGGTGAAATAAACGGAATGGACTAGAGGTATCGCCGGACTGGAGATATCGCTGCTGCTCGCCGGACTGGAGGTATCGCTGCTGCTCGCCGGACAACTGGAAGTATCAACGGGAGGGAGTAGGTCGATTTGGGGCTTTTAACTTCAAAACACGATTTGGGGGTTTTAACTTCAAGTTTTAGGGGTTTTGGTTTTAAAACCCAACATATGGGAATAAGCATGGCTACTTTGTTTTTTGATTATTCCTGTTTTTTATTATTCCTAATTATTTCTGTTTTTGATTATTCCTAATTATTCATGTTTTCATATTTTCATATTATTTCTATTTTAAAATCCAACATTCGGATTTCATATTGTTCCTGTCAAACTTTGGAACATCAATGAAGTATGATTTTTCTTCTCATTCTTTCTATTTTTATACACTACAATGTCATATATCTACAAACTAAAACTATATATTTTCAATTTCAAGTATCATTAAACTTTAAAAACTGATTGTAATTCATTAATAAGAAATCATTTTATTTTTAGCTTCTTTCTTAATTATTAACAGAAATTTGGTAACTTCACACAAGTTTAGTTCTATAGATCCAATATCCAACCAAGAGAGTGCTTATGACAATGGACATTTCGTTTCCAGTGTATGCTGGAGAGAAAAGTCAGACATGGTTGTCTCTGCAAGCTCTTCTGGTTGTATAAAACTGTTACAGATGGTATAACATCAACTAATAGATAGATAGACAGATGGTATGAGACAGTAATTTACAGTTGAGCAATAAAGGATTTATGAGTCATTAATGGAGAGAATCAATCCTCAATCCCTTAATTCCCACAACACTCCAGTTGTAATTGCGTATTGGGGAAATACGCAATTTATTTTTCTAAACTCTAAACTATATTGGGGGACATGTATTGGGGAAAATAGGTGATGATTTCTGGATATACTAGTTGAGATTTTAATTTCGGGAAAAGGAAAACCCAAAGAATTTTGAAATGGAAAGAAAGTGAAATGGAAAACCTAAATCGATATTGATTGAACATTGAAAAAAATTCAGAACCCAAAGATGGGTTGAGTCTAACCTGAGTCGGATGGAAGCCTAACCGAAGTCGTTGACGTTCGCCGGATGGAAGCCTAATCTTGCCGGACAGAACTGGAGATGTAGCCTCAAGTTACTCGTCGGACAGGAATGGACGGGAGGTATCAACGGGAAGTTGCTCGCCGGACAGGAATGGACAGGAAACGGTGAAGGAAGTTGCTCGCTCCTCGCCTGAGAGGTTGGAATCGCCGGACAGGAATTATCGATGGGAGTAGGTTTGGGGGTTTAGGTTGAAATCACGATTTGGGGTTTTAGTAGTTTAGGTTTTTTTTTTGGTTTTTTTTATTTAAAATATCCATTTAAACTTAGTTGATAACCATTTAAAATAAAGTTAATATATAATTGAATTTTCGAATTTAAAATTTATTAAAATTTAAAAGTTAATATTAGAAATTGATATTTTTTATAATTTTTAAAAAATCACTTGTTGTTAATTTTTAACTTTTTAGGATATATAATTTAAAATAACATTTATAAATGAATTTATAACTTCAAATAACTTTTTAAAATTTAATTTTTCACTTTAAATTTAAAATATCAAAAATAACTTTAATTTATAACTTCTTTAATTTTTTTTAAATTTAAAATAAACTTATTTGATAAGTTTTAAAATATCTAATTTATTAAATTGAATTTTAGAATTAAAATTTATTAAATTAGACTAACCCTAACCTACTAAAGTTAATATTAGAAATTGATATTTTTTATAATTTTAAAAAAATCACTAGTTGTTAATTTAAAATAACTTTTATAATACTTGAATTTGTAACTTTAAAAATTAAAATACCTTCTTTAAATTTATTTTTTAACTTTAAAATTTAAAATATCTAAAATAACTTCAATTTATCATTTTTATAATTTAAATTTTTATAATTATCTAATTATAATCTAACTTTAAATTTTTTATAATTTATAATATCTAAAAAACTATAATCTAACTTCTTCTAACCCTAACTTCTAACTTCTAACTCTTACTTTTAACCCTAACTTCTAACCCTAACCCTAACACTATCTAAATATGTATATATACTTATTTTTACTAATTTTTGTTAATTTTTATTAATTTTTATTAACCCTAACACTAACCTTAACCCTAACCCTAATTATTTACATTTACTCTAACCCTAACCCTAATTATTTACATTTACCCTAACCCTCATTATGAAAATTATTAAATAATTGCTATTTGTAACGGAATATCCGTTAAAAATAGTTAAAAAATCCGTTACAATATATAAGTCCTAGTATTTGTAACGGAAATAGCAAAGTTAACGGAAATTCCGTTACAAATTCCGTTTACTTTGATAATAAGTATTTGTAACGGAAATTCCGTTAACTTTGCTTCGTCCGAACTGCCTACTTTTTTTTGTAGTGATTCCTATTCTCAGGTAACCGATCCCCCTCCCTATTGCACTATGGGAGGTATTTATAACTCCTGCCCTAAGGCCTAACTGGCCTAGTAGACCTTCTTGGTCCAGGGTCTGACTTGACGGGCCTTGGTACTAACACTAATATTGCAATATAGCTCTGAATAATCTCGTCCCTGGTGAGATTAGGATCCGGAGCATCAACGACAACTAGCCAATGCTCAAAATCGCATCCATCGAGCAAGATGGTCTCTTTCGGTGGCCTGTTACTCCAGTTCGGCAAGGGATCTTTGAGGGACGAAGTCGTTCCCTAGTATACGCGAAGGCTCCTCCCATCGGCAGAAGAAGTTTCTCGGACAGTGCGATAAGAGGACTGATCCGGAATAGGGGAAAAGATCTGGTTGTGTTAGAGAGGACGAGTGAGCGAGATGTTGTTGTGAAGATTGATCAGAACGCTATGGAAGGGAAAATGAAATGGATAATAAACCCTAGAACGGAAAATGAAGTGGAGAGGACGAGTCTTGATTTAGTTTATTAGACTAATAGATTTAGTTAAATTTGATTACTTAAGGTATTTTTAATCTAATAAATTTAATTAATCTGATATAACGGTTTGGCTGAGTCGTTTAAGGTGCTAGATTTAGGATTTGGTTCAAAATGGCATGGGTTCAAATCCTACAATTGTCATTTTTCCCGCCAGGACCATTATACTATTTTACTTATTTAGGATTTCACCCAAAAAATTTAGTTAATTTGAGTCAATATTATTTTATTCGTGATGGTGTGTGGGTTCGCGCTCGGGTGCTCACACATACAACACTAGTATTCTTATTTCAGGTAACCGATCCCCCTCCCTGTTGCACCATGGGAGGTATTTATAACTCTCTGCCCTAGGACCTGATGGGCCTAGTAAGCCTGTCTGGTCCGGGGCCCGACTCGACGGACCCTGGTACCAACAATTCGGATGTAATTAACTTATTTAATTTGAGTTTACTTTTTATTTTAATATTTGATAATATTTATTCAAACCTAATATTAAATACAAATATGTATAAATATTTGATATAACCTTATCAATTTTTATAACATTTTATATTAAAATCCAAAAGTGAAAAAAATTTCACTAAATTTCAGAAAATATAACACATAAAGATGACGGAAATTCTCTCATTTTTTTAAAAATGATAGAAAATCCGTTATTTATGTTTAATATTTTCCGTCTTTTAAAAATGAAAGAAAATTTCCGTCTTTTAAATGACGGAAATTCTCTCATTTTTTGTTACTGAGATATCTTACCCTAACCCTAACCCTAAAATACGAATTGCAATTTTTTTTTAAACTTACGGAATATTTAAGCGACCAACTGGTTGGTCGCCATATTTGTTGGTCGCATTATTTTATTTATATATATTTTTTAATTTTGTTGCCAAATTGAAAGATATTTTTAAATTTTTTTGAAATATTTAACGGACCAACCAGTTGGTCCCCTTTTTTTAAATTCATGTGATAAACTGGATGGTCACTTTTTATTTTTTTTAATTTATGTTGGTAGTAAAATTGATATTTTTTTTAATTTAACGAAACATGTAAGCGAACAGGTTGGTCGCGAATTGAATTTTTTTTTAAACTTACGAAATATTTTATTTAAGCGACCAACTGGTTGGTTGCCATATTTGTTGGTCGCATTGTTTTATTTATATATATTTTTTAATTTCGTCGCCAAATTGAAAGATATTTTTAAATTTTTTTGAAATATTTAAGGGACCAACTAGATTCATGCGATAAACTGGGTAGTCGCTTTTTTATTTTTTTTAAATTTATGTTGGTAATAAAATTGATTTTTTTTTTTAAATTAACGAAATATGTAAAAGACCAAAGTCACGAATTGATTTTCTTTAACTTACGAAATATGCCATATTTTTCAATTTTAAAAATTTAATTTTTTTATTCAAGTGAATTGCAATTTTTTAAAAAACTTACGGAATATTTAAGCGACCAACTGGTTGGTCGCCATATTTGTTGGTCGCATTGTTTTATTTATATATATTTTTTAATTTAGTCGCCAAATTGGAAGATATTTTTTTAATTTTTTGAAATATTTAAGGGACCAACCGGTTGGTCGCCTTTTTTTAAAATTCATGCGATCAACTGTGTGGTCGCCTTTTTTATTTTTTCAAATTTATGTTGGTAGTAAAATTGATTTTTTTTAAGTTAACGAAATATGTAAGTGACCAACAGGTTGGTCACGAATTGATTTTTTTTTTAAACTTACGAAATATTTTATTTAAGCGACCAACTAGTTGGTAGCCATATTTTTTAATTTTTAAATTTAGAATATTTTAATCAGGCGACCAATTTATTTGGTCGCATTGTTTTATTTATTTATTTATATTTTTTTTAAAATTTAGGTGACCAACCAGTTTGGTCGCCAAATTGGAAGATATTTTTTAAAAATTTTGAATTCATGGTTGCGACCAATATGTTGGTCGCATTTTAACTTTTTTATTAAAAAAGAGTCAGGCGACCAAACTGTTGGTCGTTTTTAGTATAAAGCGACCAACTTTGCGACCAACTTCAAAAGTGGTCTCAAAAAGTCAACTATAAGCGACCAACCTCGAAGTTGGTCGCTAGAGTTTTTCAGAAAAAGCCTTCTTTCTTGAGTGAAGCTGATACCTTCACATGGATATGGTCTTTTTTTGGATTTTGGTACTGTTGTTATTTGCATTACCTTCTGGGAGTAACTTCTGCTTTCTTCTACCGATCCTCCCCCGAAGATTAAGTTGTTTGCATTACTCTTCTTTTCTGATCAGTATCGGAATCAGGGCTTCTTGAGCGTTCTCGCTTGCCCTTGTTATTTGGAGTTCTGTATTCCTTCCGACCCCTCCCAATTGTATTTATATATTATTTTAACTTTCCTGCTTTTACTTGAGTATCTAGAAAAGTACTTAGCTCCATGCAATTTTCAGTGTTGTGCCCATAGTTCTTGTGGAACTTACAGTATCTGCTTCTTTGTGACCGGGCTTCCTTTGTTGCAGGGTCTAATTAAATTGGTTGAGGAAATCTCTTTCTTCCTTTTTCTTTGTTATAGATCTCCTCCTTTGGGGTGCTAAAAACCGTGAATCCCATGTCTTTGTACTTTGGGTACCTCGATTTTCCAAATATTTCTGATATCTGGTAAACCTTCCCATCATGCTTTGGTCTCTAGGATGGTTCAGCTTTTTCGAATTTTTTAAACTTTTGTTTTGGTGTCTGATATGCTTCCTTGTCGCTTGTGACACCTTTTTCTTTTTCTTCAGAATTTATGTATTTCTGGATCTTCATTAGCAGATCTTCTAGGCACCTTACATCACTTAAATTTAGCTTTATGGCCAACGGAGTGGTCATGTCTAGCCCTTTAGAGTATGCACAGATTGTGATGGTTGTGTTTAGATCGGAGATTTTTTGCATTGCCTCTATGAATTTGGTAGTATAGTTCTGGAGGGTATCCGCATTTTTTTTTATCGCAAACAGTGATTCGGTGTCCCTTCTAACTCTTGTGTTTCCACAGTGTTGGACCAAGAATTTTTTTCTTTAAATCCGCGAAACTTGTTATACTTTCTGGTTGCAATTCGACAAACCATTTGTACCTGGGCCCTTTTAATGTTCCTGGGAATGCCCTTCATAAGATGTCATCCCTTGTTGTGACCCATTTCATTGCCCCTCTAAACATGTTTATGTGATCTATTGGGTCTATTTTTCCATCATAGAATTGCAGCCTAGGTAACCTGAAATTTGGAGGTGTAGGTTTTATCATTAATGATTTGTTTAGGGCTTCCATGCCTTCTAACCAGTTGGGGAATTCGTATCCCTCCTCCTGTGTATCTCCCGTCCCTTCGTCCTGTACGGGTGGTGAGACATGCCTGATTACGTCAGTCACTCCCAACAACGCCCTTCAAACAAGGAATAGGGTTCCGTCGCTATATGCCGGACCCCCGGAAGGCTTCCACGGTGCGGAGCACGTGTCTATGTCAAGAGCCCAAGGCAACACTTGAGAGTCGCCGACTGGGACTACCAAGTCGCCGACTCCAGTGGTGCATCGCCGACTCCGGCCAGGGAACTCAGGTCTGGTAGACCGAGGACTTGGCCTCAAAGGAGTCGGCGACTTCACCTCTGGATCAGCGACTCCCACACCTGAGTCGCTGACTCCCAGCCGTTACTTGGGCGGGCCCACACCATTATGGCGCCCTTCAATAGGGTACCATAATGGGGTGGGCCCCACTCAATTGAATGGAAACGCCTCTAGGACCCTATAAAAGGGGTCCTAGGGGTGTCCTCCATTCAGAACATTCTCACTTGACCAACACACTCCACACTAGAGCATCCAGGAGCCCGAATCGCCTACTCCCAAGAGAGTCGCCGATTCCCCTCCTCTTCTACAGGTGTTTGACGTAGAGCGCGCGTCGTGGACTCCACAGCCTCCGGCCCATCTCGCAACCCCGCGAGCCTACTGGTAGCAGATTCCGTGCTTCATCAGCTGGCGCCGTCTGTGGGACTATCGAACCACGATATCCCGTCGTAATCGCAAAATTTTCTTCGCAAAGCTTAGCTCGATTCCCTTAGGGTGAGTCGCTAACTTTGTGTCAAGGAATCTCTGATTCACACAGGCAATCGCCGACTCCACCTAGTGAGTCTCTGATTGCGGGTTATTCTGCTAGATAAGAGTGTTGTCCACGGCAAGTTACCTAAAGCAGTCACCGATTCCACTAGTGTGTGTCGCCGATTCCACCTTGTGAATCGCCGACATCCCTTGTGAGTCGCCGACTCCACTTGTGAGTCGCCGACTCCAGTTGGTTCTATCTCTCGGGTTAGTTCTAGCAAGCACTTGCGCTCTAGTTGGAACACACTTTTGTCAACAATGACTTCTGAAAGGCAAAAGCACGACTACCATCTGAGGAACAAAGGCAAATCCTCAATGGTAGCTGACAGGGCACAGACTGACCCTCGTCAAGGAAGCAGGCAAGAAGGCCTGAGGAGCCTCAAGCCAGTCTGCTCCCTCAAACATCCATCCCTCCCGCTTTAGAAGCGAGGTTGATTAGATTCATGGATAACATGGAACAAAGAGTCAACAACCTCGAGAAAGCGAGGAGTCAGAGGTCCGTCGCCCGTGAAGGAGCGGGTGAATCGGCCTCTCATAATTCTCCATCTGGGGAGAAAAAGAAGGATGGTCCAGAGCCTTCAAAAGCAAAGGCTGGACCTAGTAAGAGTCACACTGAAAAGACTCTTACAACACGGTTTGTGGAAGACCTTCGTCGGAAGTTGGCTGGCAACCCAGCTGCCAGCGGTCCGATGAAATTTCTGAGAATCAAAAGTGCTCCTTTTCGAGAGGACCTTTTGAAGGTGTCTTTTCCACAAACCTGGCGGGTACCCAGGATAGAAGCGTACGATGGTTCGGGTGATCCAAGAGATCACATCAACCTCTAACTTAGTGTCTTGGAACCGCAATCACCGATAACGCGCTATTGTGCCGGGCATTCCCTGGCACTCTCAAGGGCAGCGCCTATCGGTGGTTTTCTGGTCTGCCAGCTGGATCGATCTCCAGCTTTACGGACCTCTCATCCAAATTCATCGCCCAACACATGGGGATGATTAGGATCAAACACAGTGCCAACGCACTGCTGGCACTACGACAGAATAAGCTGTCGTTGAGG